GCTATCCGCAAAGATTCTCATGGCGAGATAGTTTATGCTCCCAGTATCGCTTTAGAGCTCGAGCTCCAGCTCGATGAATGGTATGACTATTTGCCACGTGTCGTTCGCTTTCAGCAGCTCCAAGTCAACAATGTCGCGGACAACGACAACTTACTGTATGCTGAGCCTCTTAGCAACTTCCTCCGGGTCCAGTATTACTGCTGCAAACTATCGATATATTGGCCAGCGATTTACCAGAGCATCCAAGATGGTACAGCCACTCCCGAAGTTTTTCAACATTGCGCAAGATTCTTCAGTGCGTATACCCAGTTGATGCCTAATATCTTGATTTCTATTCAAAACTGTATCGTCAATCGCTGGACGCTTTATTCAACTATCTTCATGTCATCGCTTGCAGTTATAAAAGCGTCCCAAACCCGTTGCATTCGAGTTAATTGCGTGGTGGATTGGTCTCATCTTATTGCGTGTTTGGAATCTACGTCGTCTGTCGATAGACGGATTATCGAGGCCAGCCCGTCATTGGTGTTGATGGAAAGTACGCTAAGTCGGCGACTGACAGAGTTCCATCTTTGGCTTGGGGAAGAGATAAGTAGGTCTTCATAAACAATATGTAAAAGTGGTGTAATTATACAGTAGTTCAGCTTTCTCTGACAATGTACTTGACTTCCAAGCCATCCCAAACTTTTACGGTTTCAAATGAAGCACTGTTGATCTCTCCGGTAGCGAACGCAGTGATTCCACCCATATCTGGACCGTAGTTTTCGGAATACACCATAGTGGCCAACGCGAAGCGGTCGTTGGAGAAGACTTCGAGAATGTCCCCATCTGAGAAGATGCGAAGTCTAAGCTTCTCCCATACCACTTCATCTCCCGCATCCGGCCGTGTCAGCGTCAGTAGCGTAAAGGGTCCTGCATCTGGGCATTTATTAATTGTTTGATCGCTATTGGAAGCTTTCCGTTCAACGGTAATGGTCTCTGTAGCGATACAGAATGTAAGGGTCGTGCGAATCGAAAGATCGTTACCGTGACGAAGATGGAAACCAACGGATTGGCATCCGGGATGGATGGCAATTTCCGCTTCCAGCTCCCAGCTTGGTGACTGTGTGCGAGCAATTGTTCGAGGAGCTGCAGTATCTGGCGCAGGCAACATGACGGTGGATTCCAACTCTGTTATCCTAGCACAAGTCTCCCGGAGTCTCGCCATCTCTCTGATAGGCCTTACACCGAGAGTCAAAACGGTAGTAGAACCATCCGGTTCCGTCAGGCGCTCGAAGGAATGTATCTCGGCGAGTTTGCTGCGGCAAGTCCCTCTGACATTCGGAATCCGAAGGAGAAAAACCTCCCGTAGAATGGCGAGAGAGCCGTTCCAACCCTTCGCTTTAGCAGCGTCTGCGGTGATGTCTTCTTCTGGGATCCAGCCGTGCACAATGCGGCGGTCGCCGACGGGATCCCAGAACGAATTCGATGCGTAGTACGGTCCATTATCGAGAAAGCCACCATGTTCATATCGAAATTTAATGATACCCTCATCATTCCTGGTGAGATGGCCTGACATCCACAGCTGGGCCCTTACGGTACGTGAGGGAACTAACGGGAGGCCATTGTCATTCTTCACGTGCTCCTTTTCAACATCACCTTCAGCGCCAATGATAAGGAAGTGGCGTGAAACATCACCTGCACAAAGCGTCACCAAATTGGTGCACTCCCAGTTGATGCCGTAGTTGCCACTCCACTTATCTGACGGTTGAAAGCGGAGCGGAACATCCACAAGAGGACCGAGATACTTCCAATCCTCAAGACTTTCCTGGGATATCTCATAGAGAAAGGTTGTAGGACCTAGATCCTGTATGCCACCACTGATCAGCCCGTAAAGCTTTGCCGGCTCACTGTGCTGGGTGGACAGCGGAGCCGTCACGTAAGGGTCGCGGAAGCCAGTGATCTCCAAGCTGTCTGGTTCACCAGTCAATATCGGATTGCGAGGAGACTTTTCCCAAGTGATACCTCCATCGCGTGAGGTTGCCAGAGCTAAACCAGCTGCATGACGTGGATATGGTGGGGTGCTCCAGTGAAATGGGAGATGCTTCACAGAGGAATAAGCAACCCTCAGTGTCTTGTCGTTGGTGTTAGTGGCAGGAACCCAGCACCCAGTGAAGACGCCTTCAGAGTCATAAATCTGGTCTGGAACAAGAACTGGTGAAACCGGAGCTGGTGTCCATGTCAATAGGTCCCTAGACACCAGATGGCCCCAGGACATGTTACCCCACTCGCAGCTTGACGGGTTGCCTGTTAGATCATGCTATTTAGCGCAAACATCTCAGGTGCCAGGTTTAAAAAGGTAGACACGTACATTGGTAAAATACATGGTAGGTATTGGTCCATGGGTCGTATCCCGGAGCGCAAGGGTCGTTGATCCAGCTGTTTGCCGTGAAATGGATTCTAGGCCGTTCGAAGCGCCTTTTCCAGGTCTGCTGTAACTGGTACGCCATCTGGTTACTCCGCGTCAAGCCTATGGGTTGATTCGGTATCACGTTGAGGATTCCGGTACTACTGGGAAACTGAAGCCTAGTCAACTTAGTTATAGATGTCGACTCGAGCGGAGCGATCGGCGTATCTTCGTGTTGCGCTCAACCCGCCTCGACTGGTTTTGATGGGGACATCGGCATTCCCTAGCTGCGGGGCCCATCGCGGAGCTCAAGATAGCTCCGCGAAGCTTGGAGAAATTTATAAGTGGAACGATGTAACTTGACAGGCACGTGACAATGCTACCTCTAATCCCTGCGTAATTCTGTATGGAGACATCAAGGCGGAGGTACTTCTCCACCCCAAGCCCCTGGCTTCGCTTGCATTTGCATTGGCAACCTTACCCCATACCCCGGATCGTCAGACAACCCAACTGTCTGGATGCACCAACCCCGGATCGACTCGACGACTCAGCTGGCAGGGCTATAAGTATCCATGTCGGACCTGCCAAAGGTCGACCTACACTCACTCAGTACAGGAACAAGCCCTTTCTACCTCATATTTACTCAATACCTCAACCTCAACACATCAAAGCTACAATGACCCTAATTCACGGGTAAGCGTGTCTTGATCGTTCCTTTGTGAAATCTCATCCAGCCACTGACCATCGCACCACAGAGTGGATTATTCCGTTGTCAATCCAGACAACAAATGGAAGATTCTTAGGTCGCAGTCGCGGTTTGCTCTTTGGGGTCAGTTAAGCCCTTTATTGGCAGCCGTCTGTCGTCTGCGTTCATCAGCTCACAACAGCAACTAGCTCTACTAATCTCGACTGGCGTTGTCATGCAAGGGTTTGACATCGTGGCCGGCGGCCAGCTCGCTGCTTTGCCTGAATTTAGGAAACAGTTCGGAGTGCTCAAGTCGGACGGTACCTACCTCGTTCCGGCTCACTATCTCTCCGCCTGGAACTCGATCGCTCCCGCTACCGAAATCGTCGCTACCTTTATCTTCGCGCCGTTGCTCGAACGGTTTGGTCGAAAATGGGGCATTTTGGCAGCATCTATCATCTCAGCTGCTGGAGTTCTTCTCCAACAACTGGCTCCAGACTGGAGGATGCATCTGGCAGGACGGGGTGTCAACGGTATCGCGATCGGCATGATGTTCACCATCTCGCCTCTATGGATTGGCGAGACTTGCCGTCCCGAGCTCCGTGGCTTCTTTCTGTGCTTCTTCAATACTAGCATCGTCTTCGGCCAATTTGCTATCGTCATTGTAAGCCAGGGGAGCAGTCACATTTCTGGCAAATGGCAATGGTGGCTTCCTGTCGTGGCTATGTACATTTTCCCTCGTACGTTGTATCTGTGTTCCCGCGATTTCTAGTCACTAATGCAGAGCCCCATACTACAGTCATTTTAACCATATCCTGGCCTTTCTTCCCCGAGTCCCCCTATTGGCTTATCAGACGTGGCCGAGTAGGCGATGCTAAGAAAGCACTCCGCCGTATATATGGTTTCGACGATACCGAATACTACGATATAGAAGTCAGACGTATCGAGGAAGAAATCCGACTCACCAACGACCTGCATGGTAACGTTGACAACACACCTCCAAAGAGAATCTTTGGCATCAACGTACAAGCGGAAACAGAATGCTTCAACAAACTTAACCGCAAGCGTACTTTAACTGCTATTTTTGCTGCCTCAGCTCAACAAATGATTGGAGCAACCTTTGTAATCGGCTACGCGACATACTTCTTTGAACTCATCGGCGTCAAAGACTATTTTGGCGCCTCGATCGCTTTGTATGTCGTTATGCTTGTCGCTAGCACCGCCGCGTTTCCCCTCACAGAGATATTTGGTCGTCGATTTCTCATTGTCGGTCCCCAGTTCGTACTCTGCTTGATGCTTCTAATCATGGGCATCCTGGGATGCATTTCTGATACAAAAAGGGCAAGCTGGGGTATCGTGGGCATGCTGTATGTTTGGGCGCTGATATATCAGCTCTCCATCGGCGCCACAGGATTTGTCCTGGCGTCGGAAATTGCAACGATGCGGCTCAGAGCGGCGACCCAAGGCTTCATCACCATCACTAACTCCGCATGGGGTCTGATCATGCAGTTTACAGTTCCATATATGATTAATCCTGATGCCGGAGACCTGGGCGGAAAGGTTGGGTTTATATTCTTGGCTACTGGATTGATTGCCGGCTTCGGCGGCTGGTGGTTGTTTCCCGAGACTAAAGGCCTTTCGTTTGAGAAGATGGATGAGCTTTATGCCATGAATGTCCCTCCTAGAAAGTTTAAAGAGACTGTTGCAAGGTACAATGATCTAGAGATTGTTGTAACTAACACAAAGACATCTCAAGGCGTGGTTATGGTAGAGTCAGCTTAGCACTTAGTTAAGGAGACACTTATTACTAGTGCTCTTAATGAGAGTTTAGTTCAAGAAGCCAGATAGTAGTTATATTGCTAATAAATAAACACATATACATTGGAAATCTTAATTCTAGGTTCTTCCTGCCATTGACTTACCTTACGGTGCTCAGACAATGTCTTTTGTGGTCTCATTTGCTCCATGGGTAATGTTTCCTAGCTTTTTCTGTTTCCGCCACTCCTCAGCGTATTTGACACCAAAGCCGTGCTCAAAAACGACACGAATCTCTTCCAAAGTCATTCCTGCAGCCTCAGGATAGCAGAAGAAGACGAAAAGAAGGCCGGCCAACGAGAGAGCCGCGTAGAACCCAAAAGTGCCTGAGGGAGATATTCCGCGCATCATTGACAGAAAGGTTGACGACACGATAATATTAGGACCCCAGTTGCAGATGTTGATCATCATGGTACCCATAGCACGGACTTCCATAGGAAGGAACTCGTTAGCTTGCCATGGAACACATCCTAAACCAGCAGCATAACTGGCAACGAAGAGAATCATGGAGACCAGGACAACAATAGCAGGCCATCCGACTGTATCATCAGTGAGCTCCAGAGTCTGTCGGTCAATCGGTATCTTGGTGAACACTGCAGCAGCTAGCACGAGAAATACAGGCATTCCCCACATGGTCCAGAGGAGTAGTCTGCGACGCCCGACCCTGTCGATAAGGAAAACGGAAGCGAATGTAAAAATCCAGTTTGTGGCGGTAACAATGGTTCCAACAGCAATTGGGTTGTTGAAGCCAACGATTTGGAAAAGAGTGCTCGAGTAGTACATCATGGTGTTAAAGCCGCACAGCTGCTGAGTAGCCATGAGACCACACGCGACGATAGCGGCTCGGCGGTTGGCAGGAACAGTTACTAGGCTCTTGAGAGACTGACGGACTGAGATCTCCTCATTGAGGGCCTTTGCTTGGGTAACGCCGTATTGGATATGGGCCATCATTTGAGAGACTTGGGTCTCGTCGGCGGTAGGATACATGCGTCGCAAGACTTGAAGGCATTCCTCTGATCGGTTATGGAAGCACAGCTGGCGTGGTGACTCGGGGCACCAGAACAAAAGAACACCAAGCAGAATAGATGGCAGTCCTCCCAGTCCAACCATGTATCGCCATCCGTGGGGTACTTTATAGAAGGCCGCATCGAAAGCATATGCAAGGAGGGAACCGGTCGCGAGGAAAACCATGTCGATAGAGATCATTCGGCCGCGGTACTTGGCAGGGGCAATTTCTGCGATGTAAAGAGGTATAATCTGGGTTGTTAGACACCATACGACTATCATCAAGGGGAGAACTTACCATGGAGGCTGAACCAACGCCAAGGCCAACGAGAACTCGACCGACACACATTTGGACCAGTGAGTATGAGGCAGCTTGTACAACAGCTCCAATCGTGAAGAGCACTGAGGCAAACCAAATAGCAGGCTTTCTTCCGTACTTGTCAGCTGTGATTCCTGCAATGATGGCTCCGATAAAGGCACCAGCAGCACAGAGAGAAGTGATGAGCTCTTTCTCTCCATGGCTCATCAGTCGTCCATCGAGATCATCTCCAAGAACTACAAGAACGCCAGAGATGACCCCAGTGTCGTAGCCAAAGAGCATACCACCGATGGCGGTTGCGACAACACAAAGGTTCAGGAAGAGGCCAGGGGTAGAGTCTTCAATGAAGTCTTCTCCTCCTTTGGCGTTGTCTTCGACATGGCTGGCTTCCATGTGAGACACCGCCGTGGCTTCGCCGTTCTTTGCCATTGTGATTGAAAAGAGTAGTTATTGATAAGATGTGTGGAATTTGATGATAAACGAGTTGCTCAAAGTGGTGATTCTCGGCTTTTTATCCTCGTATGTAGCACAACTGAGAGGAGCGATAATCGGGATATCGAGTCTCCCACCTGGGATACCCGAACTTCCAAACTCGCGTCTAGACCATGATGCTCCTTCTGTCCAATCAGCGTACACATAATTCTTGGTCGGCATGGAATGGTCAAAGCTTGATTCTGGGGTAGAAGCGGAGAACCATGTTGCCTCTCAACTCTCCCCATGGGGTTGAGGGAAAGGAGTCCGATTAGCGTGAGGAAAAGCCGAGATTTGAGGGGTTATGAGAGGATGAAGCAAGTGTATCCGTCATCAGGGTAATTGTTGTGTCTTGGGTTGTGGAGCCATGACTCGCATCCATTGCAAGGCCTCCTTGTCCATGGTGGGCAGGTCTATCCTTAGCTGTGGCTAGTCTATCCGTTAGCCCCGACCCACCTTTGGGTGGATGAACGATGATGCCCAGAAAAGCAAGCACACGATGGTTATGGGCAATTTCTTCCGCGTCAGAGACAAGTCACATCATCCTCGTGACAGTCACCGCAACAATGCACTGAAAAGAGTTGCCGGGTTGAGGAGCCATGAGCATCATGTTATCCACAAAGACGAAGGGAAATACAGATTAGTTATCCAGAATAATCCGGAGAACTCCATCAAGAAATGGAGATCAACTTGAAGAGAGTGATATAAAGGCGAGGCTCGGTGCCGTCCATATCTTCCAATCATCCACCATCAACTCCTCATCTCTACAATCCTCTGCAATGGCACCTCAGAAGCTCAAGATCGCTGCTGCTGGCCTCGGCCGCATGGGCAAGCGACATGCCATCAACTTCCTCAACAGAACACCCCGCGCTGAGCTCGTCGCTGCCTTCACTCCCGACCCTACGGAGATGGCCTGGGCCAAGGTCAACCTAGAGCCTCACGGAGTAACCCTCTACGATGACTATCAGAAGATGATCGAGCAAGAGGGTCTCCAAGCTGTTGTCATTGGTACTGCTACCTCTGTCCATGCCGAGGAGGCTATCCAGGCCATGCAGAAGGACCTCCACGTTTTGTGCGAGAAGCCTCTGTCCACCAGCATCGATGTGGTAAGGGTCTACTCTCTATGTGAATACTACCTAGTCTGATTGGTCTTCTAGTGCCGTCAAGTCGTTGCCGAAGCCAAGAAGCGACCTCACCTTAAGGTCATGTGTGGCTTTTCCCGCCGATTCGACGAGTCCTATCGCGATGCCTTCAATAAGACCCAGCAGGGTGCTATCGGCCGACCTACAATCATCCGCAGTCAGACTTGCGATAAGCACGACCCTTCGGGCTTTTTCGTTGAGTATGCCGCCTGGTCTGGTGGTGTATTTGTCGATATGTCTGTGCATGACATTGACCTGACGCTCTGGTTTTTTGGAGATGAAGTTATCCCCAAGAGCGTTTCTGCCCATGGTGTACGCGCTGTCCAGCCTGACCTGGGCAAGTATAACGATTATGATAACGCTGTTGGAATTGTCGAGTTCTGGGGCGGCAAGATCGCCTACTACTACTGTTCACGAATGATGGCCCACGGACAAGAGGATACCACGGAGGTAATTGGAACTGAGGGTAAACTTACTGTTAATGGGAACCCTCAGTCTAACCTTGTCAACTATTACCACTCTGGCGGCATCACCCGCGAGGTGCCCGCTCACTATTACGGACGCTTTGAGATGGCATTCGTCCAAGAGTCCATCGAATTTGCCGAGGCCTGTCTCGATAACAAGCCTCTACCGCTCAAGCTGACAAACGCTGTGAGGGCCGTTGAGATTGGTGCTGCTCTGCAGGAGGCACTTGTCAGTGGAAAGCAGATCAGGTTCGATGAGATTGGACGTCGCATTGAGGAGCCCAAGCTGTAATGGATAATAGTGTCGAGCGGTAAAATACAAATATGTGTTCATTGTTGATAGACTAGGATCCTTCATTGTTATCTTGAATCCATTGCTGTTGCAGTGTTGAGCTTAATGAAGCTGTGTACCAGCCAGTCTTTTGTTGAACATGGTCCAGAAAGTTGACTACCATCTCTTGGTCTGCCTTTTCGGTAAACACACTGCCCCCTACAGGATGTTAGAACGCAAAAGACATTCCTTTTCTTGAGAACGACGACGAACAAACGGATAGTGAATGCCGCGCTGTAAACAGAGCGTTTTCTGCTCTTGCATGAGAGCTGGCCAAGGCTATTACTTGTAGGAGATGGTTCTGAACCGTTCGCTAGATCTGTTAGATTTGGACTGAGGCTAACTGTGGCTATATGGTGGTTGATGCGCTCACCTCTACTTTCTTGCATTGACGTATATGATCAAAGACTGAAGCTGTAGTAATGGGCGTTGAAGTAGCCAGGACAATCCTCGCAATATGGTAATATTGTAACCCAATGGCTTAACCGTCAGTAAAGAGAAACTTCTAGAGTGTGTGACGTACAATGGAATGGCGAAAGAACCCATATATCAGGCAAAAATCGTCCTTCATCCTTGTTTCTACCCTTTTCAAGTATCGGGTTGAAGGCGGCAGGCTTTGACTCAAACCAGCCATCAACTTCGAGTCGAATACTTTCCAGCTTTTCGTTGCTAACAGGCAAACCTGATGGGAAGACGCAGCTGAGGGCTCGCGCTAGAAGAAAGACCATTTTGTTTGCATAAGCTGCATCATCAGCGCGCCTGAAGACATCTGACTGGAGATAGGTCTCTAGATCTGATCTTAACGGTCGCTGTTTGGTCAACGAGACATAGATATCTTGTCGAAGACAGAGCCATGCCGCAGCTTCACCAAGACCGCTGTTGAAGTCAAACAAAGACATTGAGTTCACGATTCGTGATGTCCCTGTCAGATGCATTTCCATATCATCCGCTAGCGAAGTTAGTTTAAAGGTTTCACAGAGAGGATCTTTCTTACCGTCCATCTCTTCGTACTGTCGCAATATGGCGATTGCGGCAAGCGTCTCTTCGTCGATTGGCCCATTTAGCTCGCCAACAGCTTCGATCAAGAGGCTCAGACAATGATCATAATATTCCAAAGACTCAGTAGACGTATCTGACTTATCTCGATTCAGGTGACGCGAAGAGAAGGCGAAAACCGCGTAACGTAGCACGGGAAAGTACATAGACCTGCGAGGAACCTCAAGCTCGAAATGGCGCTTTATATCTGTCGCGTCAGCCCATAGAGCCATGTTTTCGGCAAAGTTCTTGATAAGAACGGCCTCACGCGTTGTAAACGGCATCGCGGGGCGGGAATATGGTGAAGCAGGAGAATGGTCAAGTCCAGAGCTATCTCGAAGATGTCGAGTTATTCGTGCACTACCTGGAGAGTTTATCAAGTCGTGACGGCTGGTAGCTGGTGAAGCGGAGATGTCGTGAGATGCGTCAGAGGCAGGTGATATGTGAGCTGGCGCGCTAGACAGTTGGTGCCCGGAGTCAGATGGTTCTAGATCAAATGGCATAGCTTCGTCCATAGAAAGACTGAAAGTGTCAGCATGCTCTCGCTACCAGTGGTCTACTTACTCTTGCCCATTATCCGTCTCGTAGCTCTGTGATACTTGAGTGGTTTCATCGCGATACTCCACTGTAGCCGTCAGCTAGGTGTTGAGGGTTTCCCCAACAGCACATACATGACTTTCTTGGTTGGATCCAAACTTGATTAGAGGAAAATGAGTATCCAGCTGAAGGCCCAAGCCCAGGGCGAAACCGGACCTGGAGAGCGCGCTCACACTCAATGCCCACCTTTACACACGACGAACATGATGGCATTTCCTTATCACCTGGTTCTTATCAGTGAGAGGTAACAGTTTATAATTTGGCAACTCACATCGTACATGACGAACTGTTCTCATCAGCAATGTTTATAGTTACAGGTCAAATGATAGCCTACCTCGACACGCAGTGCTATGCAAATTAGCTGGAGCCTGAAGATTTCTAGAAATTGACTTACCATCCAACTGCTACGCGACTATTCTTTTTTTGTGGACGGTCCCCCGTTTCCATAGTCGTCTCGCTGCGTCTCGGTGTAAAGACGGAGACCCCTGTATAAGGAGTATGAGGAGGCGAACCGGATGAAGTACTGGAGTTATCGAGACATATCACGTGGGGAGCATTTTACTTACCCCGCATCTATCCAACCACGCCCCAAAGTCCCGAAACTCCATCCTACCCTATCCTAGTGCTCTATACCAAAATGAAATATACGTAAAAGTATTAATTTTATGTGTAACAACCCAAGGCAGAAATTATTTATATAAGTGTAAGCTTAAATTATATACGGGGAGACTTCACTCAGACTAGGGTTAAGATATTTATGACCAGACGTGAACACGCGAAGAAACGCTGTGTGCGGGGTTTTTGAAATGGTCAAAACCGCTTGCATGTTCGATCGATATCTTTTCTCGGGACTAAGATCGAGGCTGAAGGAGCATATACTCAATCGCAGGGTATTGAATTCCTTTTCAATAGACCTGACAAGTCTTAGCAAGCAGCCTCAATTGTCTAACCCAATCTATCCATTCATTATTCTTTTTGAGCAAGCTATGCGGATTTGTAAGCCGGAAATTGGGCCATATGTTCCACCAAGCCCAGAGGACCGGGCTCCACTGTATGGAAGACCACCTCTGGAAAAGCCTGAGAGGCAGAGGAAGGTCCTTTAAGATACTAGGAAATCGACGACGGCAAAACGATGGCACCCTCTAGTGTCTCTAACTTGCGGACATCAATGGTACTAATACCGATCAACTTGGAGCCTGCACGGGTCCTAGCAAGAGCCAAGGCCATTTCCCTTGACTTCTGATAGCTTCTGCCGACGATGCGAAGATCAACTACTAGGTGGACAAATGCTTTCACTTGTGAGGAGCATATCGTTCCGCTACTATGGTATGGTATGACAAGATTTCCGTGAGTTGCCATTGTTCGATCCCCATTCTTCGTAGCTCAGCATTGAGCGATCACTAAGGCCCGAGGTCTGTTTTCGCATACCAGCCACTCGTTCGTCCAATATACGCCCCAGGGCAGCCAATGAAGGACTATAAGTGCCTATATCTGTAAAGACTTGAATGGCTCGAGTAAAGCTGTTGCGTAGCGTATCATTGTTGAACTGCTTATCGAACGATGGAAGTGTCATTGCTCTCAGGGCCGCCATGGTTATGATAAAGATACTTCAAAAGGTATCGGATTAGCATAGAGGCAACTGCACACGAGAGATCAAGCCGAAAAAGCGCACCTTGTAGCTAAAGTCCAACCATTAACCCGGCAGCTCTTGAAAGAGGATTCGGCCGCAGAAACGAATGCGATGTAAGCTCTGAAATATTTGGCACAGTGCCGGGATACCTCATCACTAATCTCGCCAAGCTCAATGGATTGGTACACGGCGGGCCAGTAGATGGAGGCCTTGCAGGCAAAGAACTGGGCTTGTAAAAATTGTGCGTTCGGATGTAAAACTCCATGATCCCTATCATCCAGGTTTTTGGGAAATCGTAATAGTGGTGGAAGGTAATCGTACCATTCGTGAAGATGCAACTCTAGCTCAGTCGCAATAACTGGCGCGTATCGTAGACCCCCGCCGGCAGACTTGCTCACAGATGTAGTACAGCGCTGAAGCATACGGCGCATCGCTATTTCGGCGAGAAAGTACACAAGAGTGGGTTCAGCAGGAGCGCTACTCGGTATCGATGAGAAGCTTGACGATGATCGAAGAGTAGCCGTATCTGTCTCGGTTCGGTGTGTCGGGAAATGCCAAACCATTCTGGCTGATGGCAGAGGAACAGAGTCATTAAATGCCCAGATCCCGCTCTGAGGTAGGTCAAGTTGGATCAGAAGTTCGCTCTCAATAAGGAGGATGGTCCAGTAAGCGCGGCCGAGGAGTTCTCCTGAGTCAGAGTTTGGGGGGTACTGTTGACTCCGTAGCATATTCTGTACGCGGGACGAGGCCGCGAGAATGTAATCATGTGCCTGGCATGGTTGAAGAAGATGCAAATGGTACATGGCAAAAAGAACAAGGCATTGTAGAGCGGGGATAGAATGTTCCAAGAAGACGTTTCGGAGGAATGAGGTGGCCTCGTGAATGTACACAAGTTCCGGTCTCCTATCGAGAGGAACAGCAGCACTGTCATTACCCGCCATGCATCCTATGGCGAGAACTAGAAGAGCGAGACATGAATTGACAGGTGAGCTGCTCACGTTGCCAATAGTGTAGAAGAATACGTCAGAGAACTCGACAGAGAAGAGAGGATACCACGTATGGACATGCTCAGAGAAACTGGCCAAGTCGGCGGTCAGTCGGTGAGACTGCATCATTAACAACCTCGACGTACTGCTGCCGAGAGTCGCATCAGTCAAAGCCGGATACGATGCGGCGGCGCGCTCCATGTTGACAAGCCATCTTGCTATCTCAAGATCAAGATCGAGCAAGCGCATCATGGCTCTGCGTTGAATGATCATGAAGGGGAATTCAATGTAGACTCCATCACGGTCAGCCAGGCTTACGTGGCCGGTCTCGGATGTGTCGATCGCTGGGCGTGGAGATGGTGTAGCATGGTGAACCGGCTGGTTCTCCTCGATATGACGATCAGATGTCAAGAGGACTGTTATTTGGTCTAGCCTTTGGCGGATCTCGAAAATGTCAACTTCCAGCCTGTCTGGACTGTTAGCCTTATGCTATCTTAGTGATATCACCAAGTTTTGAGATAGTCACATCAGGGCGGACAACATCCTAGGGGATTACCTTGACGGACGTGCCTCAGGGACGACGGCACGGTAGATACACTTGGCACCGTTCAGCTCGCAGGGACCACACTGGGGTTGACGAGAATCACACTTGATTTTCCTTAAACGACACAGATCGCAGGCTAGGATTGATCTGCGCTTTTGATGCTCGGTCATGGTAATTTTGTGGCTGCGGGAAACAAATTGCACGACTAACAGGGGGACGGGATAGCTGCGGGTAAAAAAAGGCTGCTATGGCGGAAATAAGATCTATTGACGACACGAAGGCAGCGTCTTGTCCTGTCAAAGGAAACTGGAGTAACGTGGTCGACTTAAAAAAACGGTGACTGGCCGAGCCTGTGCGTGCAGGACTGTAACTCTGTTCCTGTACAGCTGTGCCGCGGATGTCGTACTTTGTGGAGTGGAGTGGATAAGATGGGGACGCGGAGGTAAATGTTGCTCCGCGACAGTCTCACTTTATTGAGTACGGCGGGGGCCTTGCGAATAAAAAGAGCTAACCTAGATGCTGATACCTCTAGGCTTTGATGAAAATTTGCAGATATTTCAGGCTAAGCTGCCAGGAACCGATACTGATCGGGACTGTAATTCAAACTAGACTTTTGGCTGCTTTTGCTGGTGACACCTTCGGCCAAATCCTAGACGACGTGCCCGAGTAGAAGATGGAGTAAACATTGGCGACCCACCCAAATCTTTTAGACCGCATGAGGCTCGGAGAGAATGAGAGGTACGAGCCCGAGCCTTTCGTCTCACATGTTATCCACTATCATTGGCCTTGATCTCAGGTCGTACTATGTATGAAGAATCGCGCAGGCGGGCTATGCCAAACCCCAGTCATCTGGAAGCGACACCAGGCTAACCGAGTCCAACAATCTCTCGCACCGACAAGTAGTCCGGTTGTTGGCCTCTGAGACCTAGAAAGCGAGTGCGGGTCGCAGATGACGTCAAGCAAAATGAGCAACTTTCTCAGCAAAGCCGGGCGGTTTTTACTCTATATCGGTTCTGGAAAAGTATCGGTGAGACGGCAGCGAGATAGACGCACGCACCTCCACCATTTAGCAATGCAACAGTGACTGGATTTGGAACTCGGGATATCATCATGTTAGGTGCGGGGTTGGACTGCTGGTGGTTCGAGCCGAGCTCCAGTACAGCATTGTGATTACATATCATAGCTGCAGATCGACAGATGTTAAGATATATTAGGGTTTAACGGAACATATACTAGTCCTCCTTGGGGAGGAGCTATTAAATGATGGAAGAAGGATGGTAGGTGTACATACTCGCAGCGTCCCCTCATGAACGTAGAGTTGCATCTTCGCAGCTCCCCCGCACAACTAAATCGATCTCCGCGGGGTTTAGTCAGACTTTGCATGTACACGGACACCGTCCAAGAGTAAGCTCGATTGACGGGTTTACACTCAATGTCACCTTATCCACAGCACCAACTATCCGGGTATCGTTGTCGGGCCGGCAAAGTATGGGGTGATGTGATATCTGCCATCCCAAGTGGGGCCCTCTCCCGTTCAGACGACTCCTTCGCATGGCGCCCCGCCCTCCCTCTACCTTCCAGAAACCCGCCATGGAACATCGCTTACTAGCGCCTGCCTTGTGTCCCCATGTAGCATATCGAAAGGCATGATGCACTCCACGGAATCACTATTACCTTCTAAAGAATACCTTAACCAAGGTTCACTATTATAGATTAAGCCTGTTCTGTCCTTCCATGCATATTGCGCCATTGGCCTCGACACCCTGACATGCTGATCTCCATTTCGTCCAACCGGCTGTATTCTCCAATACTCCTAGGAGATAAAGCCGTTATCGCGGAGTTGCAGTTTGTCTCCGCGCTCGCTGGACCCAGACAGTGGACTAAGTCCGAGTTTAGCGGATTCGTCTAGAAGCTAGGGCGCCAACCTCGAGCATACAATCAATCCGTGCTTTCATCTCATTTGCGAGTTCCATCCCAACATTGACATGTTGAAGGGGAATGGTAGGTGTATTGGTTCCATTCCACCATTCGGAGTGACTTTAATGTGCCTTATGCACTTGGAGTCGACCGATGGTACCTTGGCTTTACATCACGTCTCTAGCGCCATACTCCCTGTAGTGCATGCATGGAACGTCTCGAGCTTCTAGATTACTAGACCCAGTCGCTACTCCCCGCAAGGGATCTCCGCAATTCTCGCAGTGACTTTATTGTATCGCCGATGTATGCATGTGCGCAGTCAATATTTGGCATCACGCCGTAGCAATGCCACTCCAAGGATAGGACTTGCGAGCTTTGCTTTTGAGATATATAAGGGCCTCCAGGAACTGCCCTTAGTGAGGAGATGATCACGACAAGTCGACCGATTCAGGACGACATCTTCTCTACCTCCATTCTCCCTGCTCCATCATTGCCACCTAAATCATCATGATCTATTCCGCTCTTCTACCACTCGCCGCCGCCTTGGCTGCAGGAGCTTCCCTCCCTCACTTTAAAAACTGTCATCTCAAAAGCTATCCAGGCCCTGAAAACCCAAGTTTTGAGACTGGCAACCTCGAGGGATGGGAAGTTGTCAGCGGCACTGCATTCGGCAAAGACTCCATCTCCAGCGATGTATCATACTGGGATGGTCCCTTCCATCAGGATGGCAAGAAGTTTCTCCTAGGCTTTAAGCAAGCCGGTGAGACAGCCGTTGGGGAACTCAAGTCAAGCACCTTCAGAGCCAGCTCTACCCTGAGCTTCCTAATCGGAGGTGGATATGACCCTGACAATCTCTACGTTGCTCTTGTGCGCGAGTCGGATAGAAAGGTCCTTCTCAAGCAGACGGCGACCAACGACGAGGCTCTCATTCGCATCATCTGGGACACGAGCAAGTGGCAGGGTCAGAAGGTGCATATCGTCGTGCATGACAGCAGCAAGTCGGAGTCCTGGGGCCACATAAATATTGACGACGTTCGCGTTGGCTGCCATGCTCTTGGAAACGGCAAGGATCTCTCCTTCAACATACTCGGCCAGGCAAATCAAGCTCCTCACGGCTCCTCCGCTTGCTCCTCCTATGCTGCAGACCCCACTAGACCTCAGTACCACTACACACCCTTCCAAGGGTGGATCAACGACCCCGCTGGTCTGGTCGAGTTTCATGGGACTCATCACCTGTTTAGCCAATACTACCCCGATGCACCGCTGTGGGGTCCCATGCATTGGGCCCATGCCACGAGTACTGATGCGGTTCACTGGCGTGAGCAACCTGTGGCATTGTACCCTGCCAAAGTGAGCAACTCTAGTGACGATTCTGGTCGCTTTACTGGAAGTGCAGTCGTCGACAAGAAGAACGAGTTGCGGCTTATTTTGACTGACTACATCAATCTTGCCTACCACCCTGACGCAGTTCAGGAGAGTGTAATCACGGCTATGAGCAAAGATGGGGTCAGGTTCAATCTGTCTAAGAAACCGATCATTTCTGGACCTCCAAAAGGAGAAGATCCCTTCTTCCGAGACCCCAAGGTCTTTCGTGACCCAACCGACAACAACTGGAAAATGGCTGTTGGCGCCACCAACGGCGAGACTGGCCAAGTACAGCTGTATGAGTCTGACGACCTCGTGTCTTGGTCCCATGTCGGTATTCTCTATACTGGCGACGGTAGCACTGGGAAGCTATGGGAGTGTCCCAACTTCTTCCCACTGGGCGACAAATGGGTTCTCTTTTATGGCGGAAATGGACTCGGTTGGTACGAGACTGGCACGTATAATGGAACGACGTTCACAAGTGAAAAGCGCGGACTGGTTGATGAGGGCCCTGCTAGTTACGCTATGCAGTGGTACAAGGATGAGTCAGGCCGCGATCTGGCGATTACTTGGATGGCAAATTGGCCTAGTCCCAAGTGGCCCAGTCGTGTGAACGGATGGGCCGGACAACAATCCATTACGCGCGAGTTGTTTGTCCGCAAAGATGGTGGTCTGGGTCAACGTCCAATTGCGGAGCTGAAGAGTCTTGCATCTGGCCCGGCCAGGAAATTTGGAGCTACCAAGGTTACATCAAAAGGTTTCCATGTCGGAAGCTCCAGGAGCGCTAGACTCACCCTTGTCGTCGATCTCGCTTCGTCGGATGCTACATCCTTCACCGTCTCACTCTTTGAGTCTACCGGTGAATCCGTACTGCTGACATTCGATAAAGGCGCTGGAAGTCTCACCCTTGACACTACTAATGCTGGCTATGGTCAGGCCGGGAAGTGGAAAGCCTTTGTTGCTAATGCGGACGACAAGAAGCTCAACTTGGATATCCTTCTTGATAGATCTGTTCTTGAGATTTTCGCAGGTGATGGGACCGTGTTTTCGGCCACTGTCTTTCCTAGGTATCAGGAGTCGCAGGATATTAGCGTACTCGCGAATGGAGGTTCTTTGGCGGTGGATTCGATTGCGCTTACGCCACTCGGCTCTAGCTGGTGTTGATCCTTACTCCGAAATGGAGATTGTCTTTTTTGATAGATCCTTGAATTAACAGTTGCTGAGTGCGGGCGGCTACTTGAACGATGCAATTCGAGCATACTATTACACAAGGCGTTCCTAAAGGCTTGAAGAGAATGTGATGAGCCTCAGAAAAATGCGTTGATTGATTGGTGTCCTCGTGTGGGGTGTAATTCCGTTCAGTTAAAGCATACAGCGACATTACTAACGCAGTTGTTTCCGGCACACATACAATGAATGAGGTTTTCAATTGATGGTAAAGCTATGGCGGAAATGACTGACAAACCAAAGCGTAAGGAAGAAAGGCACTAACACGAAATAGTAAGGACCGTAACGTTATGACTCGGAAGCCCACTGCCAATACTGCACACTCCGAGGGGCAGCAATCGGGTAATGAAAGCAGGAAACGAAGGAAACGAAATCACCAGTATGTCCAATTCCAGGCTGGTAGCCATCATCATGCCACAGACCGTACTTCAACAGACTGTAATACGACATTTCCTCCAGCCGTGGTCAGAGACAGTCTGTCAGAGCTGTCGCTTGGAAATATCAGGTCCGCAATGACCACTTCGCCAGCTCCTCCAAATACCTCCACCGAACACACGTCTACTAGAACCCGCAGGTGTGCTACATTGTTGGAATCTGGCGAGAATGTCGCTGTGTGAAAGAAGACTTTGGGATCCCGGGTCTCTAAGCCCCCGGTAGTGTCGTGTGGCTTCTCCTCTGCCTGCGAGATGATCGGATTTTCACTGTACTTGATCCAAGTCTCGCCTTGGTCCAGACTATAAGCAAGTCTCTGATCCTGTACTCCGGTGTCTGGAAAGTACCCAGTATAAAATGCAAGGTACGGTGGGTTTTCAGATGTTCCAAGACCAGATGTATTAGCCTCATCAAAGTACGAGGTCCCTGTGAATGCTTGAACTCCATTGGCACTCGAGATTGCGACAGGGAGATGGATCCAGTCAATCAAGTCAGTATGTTTTAGTGTATGAATTAATGTTGTGGCGTGGTTGCGCTGCGGAAGGGTTTCCGGATTAATCATACGTAAAGGTCAAAACCCCAAACCCAAAGCTCAACATTGATAATTGATTATTATTCCATTTATCTATGACCACAGCTAACACCATAATTTACAGTTTATTGTAATTTTCAGCTGACAATAGATCTTATTCAGCAAAGCTGGAGAACTTGAGAAGCTCCCAATTAACATCTGCCAGGAACTCAGGTGTGATACAGCCTTCCCTGACCTGGGATTGAGGAATCGTCACGCTCTCTAAGAACTGTACTAATCTATAAGAGGAAATCGTCACAGTTGAACGGTGACGGCATTGTTTCTTGAGTTTAATAAGTAGCTATAACAGAAATATAGATCTAATTATTAAAAAAAAAAAAAATCTTTATACTTTCTAATAGCTAAGTTTCCGGAAAGAGTTATATAAGATAAGAAATCTTGGTTGTGGTCTTGAAAACCTAAGTGCTGATTCCCTCCTGGATTGTTGATCTTAAGGTGTATAGGGTAGTGTCACGCTCGCTTATCAACCACGTTATCCTAAAGGAATAATATTATGACGGTGACGATTAGCACACTAAGATAAGAGGTCTAGCTTTGGTCGGAAGGTCACGTGGGGGAATGATGATGAAAGACAAAAAGGGATGGACTTCCAGTAGGACTTTAGCTTCTTCATACTTTTCCACACTCAATTTTACACTCTTTGGCCCGTTATCTGATATCATTGAACTGATCATTTAATGCTCTATTTGGTAGAGAAATCCCTATCTCAATTGGACCTTATTTGCTATTGGAAATCAGGTTGCAGTTGGGAGTATTCTGAATTACTATCTTGTGCAGTCTTCTTTTATTGTTGTTCTCTTCGCCTTCAAAATATCCTAAAGGAATAGCCCGTGCACACGGCACGTTAATCCAATCTAATTAACCGCTCCATAGTCAATGTTCAGCCGCAGTCAGCGAAGGCGACTATGTCGATCGCTGCAGCGGGATTAGGCGCCGCCGGCAAGCCACTTCGCATCGCCCTATGCCTACAACCAATCATTCGCACTCGCTCAGGATTGACAAAAGGTCAAAGCGCACCGCGCGGCCAATCATCCTGCCGAATGCAAGAGGCGCGGAGTAGGAGCGATAAACATAATGAATGTTCTGGGTGTATTAGTTCTCATACGGGACTTGATAATTGCGTCTCGCTGTGTCACCGCCGGACGACCGAACTACCTAACAGAGTCCTTATCCGCAGTGATACCAGGAAGCCACCTTCCTCCACCGCAAGCACGTAACTTGCAGGTAAACTAGCACATTTCACCCAACAAACATCGTTTATCTTAAGCCATGGCAGGTCAGCGTCGCCCACGTTACCAATCATGCCTGACTGCTTGGCTGGTGCATTAAGCCGCGTCATCGCTGCGTACCCTGCCATCTGGTTGCCCTTGTTCTGTAGTCGCAGCGTGTTATGTTCCTGGACCTATCGTCTCTAATCCATACCGATAATAGCCTCTGATCGCGCCAATCCAGGGACCAGCTCCTCGTCATCTTGGAGATGGCTGTTAATCTTACAAGGGGACCGAAATCGAAATGCTGCAGAGTTGAATGTTCGCCGTTTGTGCTCTCGCTCACCCTTTCATGCTAACAATTCTGCTAACGGAGTCCTCTAGTCTCCAACTTCTTAAGCCCGAGAACCAAGGGTTAAGTGGTTTTAGTCGGCGTCATGCTTTAGCCGGGGCTAGAGGCGCCTGAAACGCCCGCTGATTTGGTTCTAGTACAGGGAATGGCAGCCACACCACGCTGGCCTTAGAAGGGTGGCTGTATACCGAGAATTAAACAGAAAGCGGCGCTCTGTGATGTCCAGACACCTATGCCCCCCTGGGCGAGAGCAGGCAAAGTTTGATCAACAAAATTGCTTTACTAATAGTCGGAAATCCGACACCCTACCGCGGACCGACAGGACAACATGTTGGCAGGAACAAAGCTCAGGATGCGAAACCTAACGGTCAGGGAGATGACACTATGCCTTGAGAAATTACTCTTATCTCCGTTAATCATCCGTCCAGATCCGAGCCAAAGAGCATCACCGTTGCCCAACTGTGCCATCGCAATCTGAATACCTAACTTAGCTGATATCGCTACAGAGAGTTCGTTCCAGCCATATATACTTAACGTCAGAAGCTGACCAGCCCCCTTGCAATCCACACCGAAGATCAATGTCAATATTTTATTTTACTGCACTATGACCATGTTATCCCAAACATAAGCCTAGGCGAAAGCCATTCTGGAATAGCAGTAGTAGTCCTTCACCTTATGTAAAATAGATACAGGACTGTGCAGGATATTTACCGCGGGCTCTAGTTGGCAAGCTGATACTGTTGAATAACCCTATATAGCAAAGATTTCGCATGTGAGGTCTCCTCTATTTAGCAACTGTAGCAGGAATCCTCTATTGAATTCGAGCATCGCCATGCTGCGGATGTAAGCTGGTTCCACCCTTCTTCATAAGGGGCCTGCTCGAGCCACCGAGAGACTTGGTATGAGTCTGTGTTGATTGCGTGGTGGTGGCTCTCCCTTCTGAAGTTGCAATTCTGGCTGGGATATTTAGGGTGCTTTTCCGAAACTATGCTTTTCGATAGACTCGGAACTTGTAGCTGGTATTTGTAGATATTATCGGTGTGATGAGTTTTAGTTGGTGAGATGTTTCTAGGGCATGAGGATATGATGGCCCAAGACCCAATCCCAACCAAATCTACACTTGAAGGACTGCGTGGGATGAAGGCCATGCTGGTGAGGTCGCGGGCCATGAACGGGACACTAAATGAGATGAGTTGAGCTTTCATGATGAGTTCGACATCCAATCTACATTTCGACTGGAGCTGTGGTGTCTTTTATGCAATTCTTTCCGATTTATCGGTGTCACTAAGCAACACTGCTTGTGATCTTAAAATTTACGTGCAACCTTTGCCCAATACCTCTGGAAAAGGTCGCGAACTCACCTCCGAGCTCGACAACCATGATCAGAGGGCCTCTGATTGGTTTCTCCGGCAGCCTCTTTTAGTTTAGCTCCTGATTATTGATGCTTACAGCCCTGTGCACGTACCACCCTGCAGCCCCCTTTCTCAGAATTACTTCCAGGTAGCAAAGAGGCTCGCTCATCTTTCTTAATGGCATTTCCGGCGTCCATTTTGGGCCAAGCGTGAATTTCTTCTTGTTCCAACAAGACATGGAGCGCTATCATTTCGTGCCCCCACAACGTTGGCCAAATATAAAAAAAGGCTGCACATTCTCAAGAGATGAATAGCAAACTTCCAGCGACAACTGCTTTTACCGTAAACTCCACGCCAAACGCTCTTTCGACTAGTCCGCATAAGTAGAAGAACTCTCCTTCTCTAGTTCCTCTCTATCTAGGTTTCCCAGGCGTCTCGCGCTAGGAAACCAGGATCCTCTCTATCCACTAGAAAATCTCTTCCACTTTTTGAGCCTCGCGTGAGGCTTAGTCGGATCTATAAAGTCCCTTGGATTTGATGTAGTTATATGGAAGCACACTACAATGCTGTCCCGGGCGACATAGAACATCTCGACGATGACTTCCAGAATATGGTGGATCTCTCCACTAGGATTCCTCAAATCCTTGCTGAATCGAATTTTTCTAACGTCCCCAATAGCAACTCTAAACATGACCAGCGAGACAATGAGAACTTCTACCTGTTCAGCCATCAGCCCCCTTCTTCTCCGACTTCCGAACGAGACCCTTCCTCAATCCACGATGTGTTCTCTAACGCAATTCAGGGAGATCCATTCCTCGGAAATAAGGACAATACGGAGGCAGAGGAAGAGGAAGAGGAAGAGGAAGAGGCAGAGGAAGAGGCAGAGGCAGAGGAAGAGGCAGAGGAAGTGGAAGAGGAAGTGGAAGATCAAGATGAAGAGCCGGAGCCGGAGCCAGAACCCGTTCCTCCGCCACCACGACTATTTCAACGTCACCGGCCATTTCGATTCCACGAACAAGTCTTTAATATACTTATGGAACCTTATCCCCATCGACCTCCAAGACACTTGTCCCGGGAGGAAAGGTTATCAAGGAAGAGAAAGAGAGGGAAAGTATGTGGAAGCTGCCGTGCTAGGAAACAAAGAGTGAGCCTTCTAACACCGTTTAAACCTGACGTTTCTTGGTTTTATTAGATACTGATAATCAGCTTGAAGTGTTCCCATGTTGACCTGGGATGCCCTTGGGCAGCCGAACGAACCTTTATGGGTCTCATACTATGGCTGCTTTATTATTTCTGGTATTGATGAAATCGCCGACACTTCTAAGGAAACGTACCTCGATACTACACCAGAGCCGCGGTTAGAAGCGCCGCGACGGATTATAACCATATCAAGGGGTACATTGTGGCGACCAAGCCTTCCAGTGTTCGTTTCTTACGGACGTGGCTCGGCATGGCAAATAATGAAGTTCCACAGCCATCGGTTGGGACCCGTTGAGCTGTGGTCGCCGCAGAGGCCCTAATGTAAATTGACACAGCAGCTCAGGAATCGACTCGACCCGCGGAAGTTGCAAATGGCTAATGGGAGGATATGGTAATACAACAGCTGGAATTTGAGGGATAATGGCTCCCGCCACTGTTTGGTTCTAGGTTACCTGGCTCTGATAGCTGGCGAACTAAAGGAGGTTGACTATGGTATATAACTGGAGGTGTGTATGTTACTTATCTTTTGCATTAACTTCGCATTGCTATTCTTTCTCCCTTAATATTGGTTTTCCTACCGGGTTTTCCTAATATTATTTTGCGAATGCAGAGGGAACTATATCTTATTGCTTTAAAGGGGGAACATTTAGGTAGTAATCTTAATATTTATCAATCGTTTGTATTTAACCACCTTACTGTAAAAACGTGATGGATGATAGAAGCGTATCTTTTGGGTATATTAAAGGAAGAAGGTTAAGGAACCAGCTGCTAAGCAGGTAGAGCTTTTCAGCTGGTATGCATGCAGCTAAGTTCAGGCTGCAATTGAGGCAGCCAAACCAGAACGATATTTGACTTTCTGTAGTTTAGGCTGATTATAAGGGCCTATTAATATTTAAACTTATTAAAACTCTAGAGATGCTTAAATATCCCTTTTAAGGTTAACTTATAAATTTAAAAAAAAAAATAATAATAATAATAATAATAAATAAAAAGATTTTATAGCTAAAAAAGCTAGCTTAATAAGGCTAATATTATCTTTTTATTTTTAGACCTTTTTAACTTTTATAATTATTATATATAATATATTTAATAAGCAAGTTAACCAGATAAGCCAGCTGACTACTGCACTATATAGCTAAGAATAGCCTACCCTATAGCACTTTAAGCTATAAATAAAATAGCTAAAAATTTAAAAAAAGAATTTTTAAAATTAATATAAGTTACCTTACTATAATATAATTTTTATAGATTTTTAGCTATTTTTTTTTATATATTAAACCTTAGATACATAATGTAAATAGCTTTTTTATATATTAATAATAACTTACTCTATTTTATACTTAACGTGTTTAATAAGCAAGCACTGCACTTTTCCTTCTTATGTTATATATTTTACCTAATTAATTAGTTTTTAACTATTTACTATATTATAACCTTTAATTAAAGCTGAAACTCTTCTTGCTCTTTAGGCCCTTTAAAATAACCCAAACTAAGCATCTAATATACTGCAAAGATATATTATAATAGTTATAGCAAACATTCCAAGGTAAGAGGTCTAAACTTTTTTAATAAGGTTAGATAGATATTTAAAATAATAAATATAAAAAGAAAGATTCCTCTAAAAGATTTAAGTTTTATTAATAAGGTTAAATAAATATTTATAAATAAATATAAAAATTTAAATTTCCTTAAGAGCTTTAGCTTTTTATATATCTTTTTATATATAATTTTATATTCTTTTTTTTATATTTAATATTATTTAACTAATTCTTTAATTCTTTATTTTATATTAAAGACCTTATTTTAATTAAACCTAATTAGTAGTTTATATTTAGTTTATAATTAAAAAGTATTATTAAATATTATCTTATATAGTTTTTTCTTTATTATTAGTCTTTACCTTTAAATTAAAAATCTTAAAAATCTTAAATATATTTTATTTATAAAATATATAGCTATAAAAGGATTATATAAATACTTACCCTTTTACTTAATATATAACTAAGAGCTTATATATTTAATAAAAGTTAAATACCTTATTTAATAATTAATTAATTAAAATAAGGTATATATACTAAAAAAGAAGTTATAGGCTTAAATTTGTATTTTAGAAATAAAAGAGGTAAATATAAAGAAGATTAAAGTTAAAGTTATTAAATATTAAAAGCTTATTACTACTTAATATAATAAAAAGCTTAAATTTAAAATTAAAAAGTAACTGTTAAAAATTAAAAATCTTATTTTAAAATATATTATTTTTAAAATAAATAATATATTAATTAGGTATAAAATAATTAAGAATTAAAATAGCCCTTTTTATATTATTAAGTATTACTTAAATATTAATTTTTATACTTTATAAAAACTAAGAAAAAAACTATTAAACATGTAAATATATAATAATTACTTATATAAGTTTTAATAAAATAAGAATAATTAATAAATAAGTAAAAAAGATTTAAAATTAAAAAATGAAAATAAAAAAGGTAAAGAAAATATTTTTAAAATTAGCTTTATAAAAATACTAAAAGAAATAAACTTAATTAATTAAATACTTTAAGGTTAATTTAAAAGGCCTTTTAAAAAGTAAAAAGGCAATTTATAAATTAATTAATAAAGGCTTTTAAAGCCTTATTCCTTAATACTTAATGTTAAGGGAGCTAGAGTTATAATATTAAAAGCAGGCTATAATATTTTACTTTTAATAAGAAAAGAAGTATATAAATAAGGTAATAATAAAAGATATTATTGCTTTATTATAATAAAGAAAAGAAAAAAAGAGAATATTATTATAAAAAAGAGCTTATAATCTTTATAAAAATATTTCTATTTTTATATTTAAAAAGAAAGAAAAAATAGAATATAAGACTTTTAAAAGAAAAGTAAAAAAGTAAAATACTTAATTATTACTAAAATAAGAAAAAGATATAATATAGAAAAGGCTAGGTAATTACTAATTTAATATTAAATATAAGAAATTAAATAATAAATAAGGAAAGATTATCTTAAAATAAGTAATTTTAAACTTAAATATAAAAGGCAAAGTTAAGATTTTAATAATATAGTTTTACTTAAATAAGGGCTAAAAACTATAAATATAATTATAATATTACTTAAATAAATAAAATATATATTAAATATACCTTAAATATAACTTAAATATTTTAAATAATAGTTAAATATAATATTAAAATTATAAATCTTTTAAATATTAAATTTATTTTAATTAAATAAAGTAAAGTTTAATATAAAAAAAAGGCTATTCTTTAAAATAAAATACTAATTAATTACTTATTTTTATACCTTTTATATTTTAAAACTTAGTTTTTTTATTAAAAACACTTTATTTTTTACTTATTAGCTTATTAATCTTTTACTTAATAGCCTTTATTATATCCTCCTTATTTAATTTAAAATCTTAAAGTATAAATAGCTATTACCTAGTAATTTAAAGGCATAATTAAGAGTTTAATTAATCTTTTAAAACTTTATAAAGTTTATTTATAAGAAGAATAAAACTTAATTATAAAAGGTAATTTAGTTTTAAAAAAAAGCTTTAAGTAAGCTAAATTAAGGCTTATTAGCCTAATAAATAAAGAAGAAGTGCTAGTTATAATTATATTTAATATTTTAAGTATAATTAAAATACTAACTACTTTAAAAGCTTTTAATTAAAGTATAATTATAAAAGGGCTAAAAGATATATTTATTATTTTACCTAGTTATTTAAAAGTAAAAACAAATATAATTATAATATATTTTAAAATAATAAATATTAAATAAACTAATTAAAAAAGCCTTTAATTAAGGTATATTTTTAATAAGCTTATAAAAAGACTAGCCTTAATAATAAGTAAACTTAGCTAGGATATATATAAGCCAAAGTTAATAATATAAATACTTATTAAGCTAATTTAAAAATATAATATTAATAAAGCCTAATAAAGAAAGGATTTATACTTAAAAAGAAATAACTAATTAATTAATTACCTTTATATAATTAAGAAGAATATAATATATAAGCTTAATATATAAAAGGTATTATATATAATTAATTAATATTAAGGAAGAATTCTTCTTTATTAATATTATATTTAGTAATTATTATATACTTAAGAAACTTCTTTTTTCCCTTTTTTAAGAAATTAAAACTATTAAAGACTTTAGTAGCTATAATAAAGGATATAAGGATTAAATAAAAACTAAAGAATTAAATAAAAATATAAGTATTAAGATATAGTTAAAGAAATTAAGGAAAAGAAAAAGAAATAAATATAAAAAAGAATTTAAGGTTAAGATAAGAGCTTTTAAATATATAAAGAGGTTAAATTACTAACCTAGCTATATAAGAGGTTCTTAAGGTATAAAAACTTTTCTTTACTTTCTCTTTCTTTTTTTCTTTTTCCTTTCCTTAATATATTACTTACTTTTTATTTTATTAATTAATATAAATACTTATATTATATACTTTAAAATACTTAAAGCTATTTATAATTCTTAGCCCTTTATACCTATATCTTACTTTTTCCCTTTATAACTTATATTTTTATAAGTATAAATATAATTATTATATTTATATTTTATTTATATAACGTGTTTTATAAGCGAGTGACCCATATAAGCGAGTGACCCAAAAATCCCTCAACTTACATTATCATCATTCAATTCAATATCTTTCAACAACCCGATATGCCACAGCCTTCATATGAAGCTAGGATACTTCTTGCCCTTCAGGCCCTTCAAAATGACCCGAAATTAAGTATCCGAAAGGCGGCGACTGTATATCAGGTCAATCACCGCACCTTAGGTCGCCGCCGGAATGGCATTCATTCAAAGCGTGATATAACCACAAAATCACGGAACCTATCTGATCTAGAGGAACAGACGATAGTTCAATTTATCCTTGACCTAGATTCCCGAGGTTTCCCCCCTCGGCGCGATTTTGTGGAAAAAATGGCCAATTCTCTACTTGCCGATCGCGAGGCATTACCAGTCGGCAAGCTCTGGGTTCATAACTTTATCCAACGACAACCAGAGCTAAAGGCATGTCGATTTCGGAGATATGACTATAAGAGAGCTAAATGCGAAGATCCGACTATTATTCAGGGCTGGTTTCGCCTCGTAGAGAATACGATCGCGAAATACGGTATCCAATTAGCTGATATCTGGAACTTTGATGAGACCGGCTTTATGATGGGTATGATTGAGCCCGGAATGGTCGTCACAAGCTCAGAAAGGCGAGGGATACCAAAGAAGATACAGCCTGGAAATCGTGAATGGATTACTGTGATTCAAGCGGTCAATGCAGAAGGTCAATCGATCGCACCATTCATCATTGGTTCAGGCCAATATCATCTTGCCAATTGGTACCGAGAATGCAACCTCCCCGCCGATTGGGTCATTGCATTGAGCGAAAATGGATGGACCAATAACCAGCTAGGTCTTGACTGGCTACAGCACTTTGATCGATCAACAAAGGACCGATCAGTTGGTTCTTATCGTCTCTTAATCCTCGATGGTCATGAAAGCCACCACTCTATCGAATTCGAGAGATATTGTGAGGAGAATAAGATTATTACCCTCTGTATGCCTGCTCATGCCTCTCATCTACTCCAGCCTCTTGATGTAGGGTGCTTTGGGC